TCGCCCCCCCCAGCAGGGCCCCCTTCTGAGCCAGACACGGCAGGCCTCGACCCCCGGCTGCGCCTGCCTGGCCCTGCCAGCCGCCTTCATGCAGGGTGTTCTTGGCCACACTGGGGAGACTGCAGGGAAGGAGGGAGATGGGTGCCCCTCGGATACTAGGCCAGGGACAACAGGTCACCAGACACAAGGCTGGACGAATGAGAGAGGGCCCCCTGGAGCCTGCAGTCCTCAGCGACGCCACCTGGAAGTGGGGTCAAGGCTCATGACCTCACTGCACCCACAGAAGCCCGAGAACAGGGTAGGAGGAAACGCCCGCGGGCTGTGAGTGCAGGGTGCAGTCAGGGCTCGGAGGGCCCCTGGGCAGCCCACCACCTGCCAGGAGCCAGACAGCGCCCACGGGTCTGCCCCACAAGGACACTGCTCTGCCTCGCCTACCTGGGCCTGCTGAATCTTGCTGCCCACTTTGGAGAGGAGGGACCCGGCAGCTTGCCCGAGGTCAGGGCCTGTGGGGCAGGACAAGGACTCAGGCTGTCGGCTCTGGGGTCCATTTCTCTGCTAACCCTGAGGTGCTGCCCCCAGGACTCTCCCAGAGGGCCAAGTACCTCGGCAGGTTCTCAGTCCCTCCCCTGTGTGTCCACTTGGTGAACCGAGTGGGACTACACGTGTGTGCTCTTCCTGGCTTCCTGGGTAGTTTTAGGAGGTCACGGTGACCACACGCTTGAAAACACGCGGCCAGGGCGGGCACCTGCAGCAGAAAGTCCAGGGGCGCCGAGGCTCTTCCTCCCGAGAGGCTCGCTTTCCCGGCCTCCGCCACCTCAGGTGTGAGAGCACGGCACTCCCTCTGCGTGGTCCCCGTCCCTGGCCGTACTAGGCAGAGGGGCAGCCCCAGTGTGGGGGGGAAGAGGACGGAGGCCTCCCACCCGAAGCAGGGCCCACGGGTGCCCCCAGTTGCTGTCCCTCAGTGACCTGGTCCTCCTGGGGTCCGAGCTGCAGGGCGTGGAGGAGAAAGGCAGTTGCCGTGGACTACAAGTGGAAGGGGCAGCTAGGCAGCTGTGAGGCAGTCAAGGACCAGGGCCAGGACCCAGGCAGGGCTCACTCTGCAGTGGGTAGGTACCGTAGGGCCCGTGAGCCCAGACAGGCCTGAGCTGAGGGTCGGGGTGAGGGGCGGAGGGCGGAGCCAGAGCCAGAGTAGCCCTGCTCGCAGCGAGGATCGTACCCGCGGCACCAGGAGGGGCCTCTCTGTATAACCCTCCACCCGTTCCAAGGCCTGTGCAGGGAGGCAGTGGCCCTGGGCCCCCTGCACCCTGGCATCCAGCCACTCGAGCCCGAGCATGCACGCAGCCAAGTGGCAGTTGGCGGGTCATCTCCCAGGGTGCCGCCCTGTGCGGCACCGCCCATGCGGACCCTGAGGGCACTGCCTCCTGGTCTACTCTGGCCCTCATTTTGCAGAGCCACTGTGTGGCCTATCCCCAGCCGGGAGCCCCTCTAGGTGGCCGTGGAGAACAGCTGCTCCTAGGGCTGGCCGCCCACTCCGGCCACTTGGCTGAGCCCCGCATGTGCTCAGAGCAGCTCTGACTCAGAGGTTGTCCAGGGACCAGGGCTATTTGACTTTGTCCTCGGGTCACATGGTCTGGGGTGGCACAAGCTAGCCAGCTACCTCAGGGGTGCAGCAGGTGCCCCAGCCCTGCCTTGTCCCTCCCACCACTGGGATTGACCTGGTCTGGGGACACAGGGAGCTTGGTCCCTGCCCCAAGAGCCCTAGGTCCTCTTGCTTCTAAACCAAAGGCAGACCGGCCGATGCCCCCACACCCCAGCATCACCCCTGCGAGCCAGGCCCTGTGCAGGGCCTGGGAAGGGGAGTGGGTTGGCCTCGCCTCGGCCTCTGGGTGCCAGCCGTCTCCCGCCTCGCTCCCGCCTCGCTCCCGCCTCAGCACCGGCTCCTTCTTCCCCTGTGCTGCTGTCTGTGTGAGGTCCTGGGGATGCAGCAGGTGAACAGTGCCTTCGTGGTGGTGGGCGTGCACGTGGCTGCTTCCCTCCAGGCTCCAGCTCAGCCTTACCAAGAGGCATCGTGAAGTTAGGGGGAAAGGCCCGGAAGGAGGCAGTGTTCCTGGTGGCCCTGGAGAGGCCGCTGAGCTGCCTCCTCCAGGTGGCAGTGACGGCCCTGCCCGCCGGGCCCTTACTGTCCGCAAGCGCTGGCTTTAGGGGGAGGTGTCCCACAGGTTTGGAAGTCCCTTGCAAGAGGCCTGGAGTCCTTGTATAGGCTTCTGGGGCCTTGGGGGTGTCTAGCATAGGTCTGGCCCACAATAGCTGCTCAGTTAAATCCACCCACTCACCACCCTCGGGTGGCCTGCAGGGGTGGGGCGTCTGGGGAGGGAGCACCTCGGAGGCTGTCAGCACCGGCCGACCTACACTGGCTCTGGGGTCCACGCTGTCCTGTGGTGGACCAGACTGAGCACCAGGGCACCCACAGCAGACTCTGTCCAAGCCCGGACCGGGCTCTCTGGGAACAAACTACATGCTCCTGCATGGGTCCAGGACTGCGACTGCAGGGTCCAGCATCATGCCCTGGAGTGGCCTGCCTCTGGGGCAGGCCGCCACAAGCCCCCCTCTGACAGCCTGTCACCTCCCACTCCAGCACCCCTACCCGACGGAGGATGAGAAGCGGCAGATCGCGGCCCAGACGAGTCTCACCCTCCTGCAAGTTAATAACTGGTGAGTTGGCATCTGCCCGGGCTCAGACGGGGCCACATGCTGGGCAGAGGCGGAGGCAGGGCATGGTCCACGGGCACCGGGGCTTCACCAGTCAGCTTCTCAGCGCTCGCTGCTGAGGTGGTCAGGCCACTCCTGGAAGCGTCCAGCAAGCAGGTGCCCGCCCCGCGCTGGGGGCCGATGGTCCCCCACCCGGTGTGTGCTCATGCCAGACTCCACAGAGCAGGAGTGGGAGCCAGGGAAGGCCCCACCCGACGGGGACTTCAGCCTTCTCTCCCAGCTGGGCCTCACCCTCCAGCCCTGCCTGAGGCTCAGCCTGGGCGCCAGACCTCCGCTGTCCGCCCCCCAGGCCTGGTGCATGCTGAGCAGGGATTCCACCATCCTCACGGGCTCACCTCATACTCCTGCCGGCCTGGTGGTTTTACAGGCTACTCTGTGCCCAGCCTGCACCCCGCACACCCGGCCCACGACATGGGACCGCAGTGTGCTCTGAGCCCTGGACGTGGGGCAGCCTCCCCTCCCCGGCCCCCACGGCGGGCACTGACAGCGCCTCTGCCCTCAGGTTCATCAACGCCCGGAGACGCATCCTACAGCCCATGCTGGACGCCAGCAACCCCGACCCCGCCCCCAAGGCCAAGAAGATCAAGTCCCAGCACCGGCCCACCCAGAGGTTCTGGCCCAACTCCATTGCTGCCGGGGTGCTGCAGCAGGGCGGTGCCCCGGGGACAGACCCTGACGGTGAGGCCCTGGAGGCCCTGTTGCCTGGCCCCAGCCTGGCCCTGCGAGTCCCCCAGCCCCTCCAAGCTGCAAAGCACATGCTGGTACCATACGCACCAGAGGCGTCGGAGATGGTGGTGGGAGTGGGGGCCCAAGTGGGTGACGCTCCGCAGAGCCCGGATCTTCCAGCCGGTGCCTGCGTGCCTGCCCAGAGCTGTCCTGCCAGGCTCCCCCAGTGGGCGGAGGTGCACCCTGGGACAGCCTGCCTGGCCTGACATGCCTCCTGCTCCCGCAGGTCCCATTGGTCTGGACACCTTGCAGTCCCTGTCTTCAGACAATGCCACCGTGGCCATGCAGCAGGCCATGATGGCCGCACACGACGACTCGCTGGATGGGACGGAAGAGGAGGACGAGGATGACATGGAGGAGGAGGAGGAGGAGGAAGAGGAGTTGGAGGAGGAAGCTGACGAGCTGCGGACGACCAGTGTGGGCGCCCTGGGCCTGGAGCGCAGTGACTCACTGGAATAGGGCGGTCAGGCTGGCCCGGGGAGGGCCTCCGAGGGCTTCAGGGCGGCAGGACACGGGCCAGCGGCTCTCGAACCAGCAGCTCGAGGACATGGGAGGAGAACCGGGCCGCCCACTTCCCTGAGCTGCCAGGACTCCATGTGGCCAGCGGCCAGGCAGCCTGGGTGGAGACGGAGCAAGAGTGGCCTCAGCACATCTCCAAGGACGGGGCCCCACGGCCCTCAGCGGGACTGGAGCTGTTTGCAGCCCCACCCCGGTTTTGGCAGGGGACAGACTTCGGAGGAAAGGGAGAGATGGGGCCTGGGAGCCCCAAAGGGTCTTAGCCCCTCGAGAAGCCTCATGGGCTGCAGGAGGCCCGGAAGCATGACGGCGGCCAGGGAGTGGAGGCAGCGGCAGTGCAGATCTGCATGGGGCCTGGATGCTGGGGTGAGCTGCCCCCCATGCCCCCGGCCTCGGACAGGCCCCGACCTAGGATGTCCCGTCCTGGGCCCACCTGGAGGAGGCCAAGGAGCCCTGCAGCTGGAACGGAGGTGGCAGGACCTGGTCACAGAACTCGGCACCTGTGACCCCGGGCAGCGGCACCCTCCTCCCTCCACAGGCCAGCTGAGCTCGGACTCTCCCGCCACCCTGCGCAGTCCCTCCGTCCCGGCTGGCTCTGGCCTCGGCCCCTGCTCATTCTGTCTTGCAGAGAAGCACTGAGGGGCACTGTCAGTGGGCAGCCAGGGCTGAGAAGGTGCTACCCTTGCTGGTGAGGTCGGAAGGACGGCCCAGGAGCCCCCGTCCTGCCCACTGCTGGAAGCAGGACCGTGCCGGCACTGGGGACTGGGGCTCCCGGGGTGGGGCTTTCCGCCGTTGGCCCCCCCACCCCCACCCCAGCCTCCCCTGCCCCTCACCCCGACAGCTGTGAACAAGACAAGGCACACGCGTGGCCACTGGGTTTCAGTTCACGGATGTGCGGCGTCATTTGTAAGTGGTGTGTGGGCCCCCTCTGGCAGTGGCAGGACTTGGGGGTGGCTCAGGGGGAGGGGACCTTTGCTCCCTCCCCCACCTGGCTGGATCTGGGCGTGAGGATGGTTGCTTTCCTGAGGTCTCCCTGAAATGAATGTATTTCTCCCTCAAAGAGCTGGTATTTAATGTTTTAATAGGGATTTTTGAGAAACAAACGACCTTGTTTATAACCTGGGTATCCACTCATTTCTTACCTCGCTGCTGGAGGTGGGAGGAGGTCGAGCTTTTGGGGTGAGACTTCAGGGCACGCAGGGGGCCCACTAGCTTCCCTCTGGGGCTCGTCTCCTTCACTCACACTCACACTCGCCCACACTCACACTCGCACTCACACCTCGCAGTCAGCGTTCACGCAGGCCCGCCCCCTCCCGCCCCCCTGTTCTGCAGCCCCTCATGTACCCCGTGGCCGGCCGGGACATGGCCATCTTCAGTAAAGCGTGTTACCTGCCATGACTCTGTTTCTGTACTTGCTAGGGCAGCTCCTCGCTACGTCGGGGCCCTGGGCCCGCGGTTCCAAGCCTCGGAACTGCACCGACAGCCCACGGGCACGGGCAGGGGCCCCGCTTCACCGCAGAGAGTGACGGCGGCAGCCTATGGTGGGCCCCCCCCCCGCGGCACACAGG